ATTTTTTTTATATAAATTTTTAGACTTTTTTCTATCTTCTTTTTGAAATTCTATATATGTATATATTACATTGGAAATAACCGTGAATATATATATATATATTCCAATGATAACACCCCATACGTGGATGATTTGGCGCGCATAGCGCGCCATATACGCTAGTCATATATAAAAATCAATGAATGCCTTCAGAAGAATAAAAAAAAGACTGTACACTTTGCTATTAATTTCGTAATGAATAATTTTGTATTTATATTTGTATCGAGCACGTTAGACTTACCTCATACAATTCCAAAGTACACAAGGGAACCAAAGGGCCACGCCAACTTCGATAAGTCGAAATACGATGTCATGCCAATTTCTGCTGTACAATGGAACCCTAAAATCATGATATTATCAACATATAATTGCCATGAATTAATTAAGCTTTTTTTAGGCTATTTCGGATTACCTTAAAAAGTTATACTATTGTTGCGTTTTCCCCCTTTATTTATCAAAAAAGGCATCAACTGATTGTGAGAAATTACATAAAATTTTTCAATGGCCTTTAACGAAAATAAAATCGAAAAGAGAACGTGGATCCGTTTATTCTCTCACTATCGCAAATGGCTTCTAAATTTCAGAATGATTGCTACACCTCCCCATACTGTCTCTCAAGGAAAAGTTCCTTTCAATTGGACAAAAACTCAGCCAACCAACTGAAGTACGATAGCCAAATTGACCTGAGGATCGGACAATGCTCGACACCAACATTTCCGAAGCGTGGAAAAGAGGCTGGCCCAATGTTCTGTCGAGCCTTGCATGATAACTTCGGCCCGATCGTCGGTACCTTGATTGGCCCAATGATGACAGTCGATTGACAACGGAGTCTCATTATTTCTAACTATTATTTTTAACCGAAAAAATATTAGATACATTTGTTCGTAACTAAAATTTATTCTATTAACAATCTTTTCACGGTAATTGAAGGAAACTGGAAATAAAAACGAACAACAGAGTGGACTGTAAATGCTCGGCATACGATTGACTATAACGATGTGCTCATTAAGTTCATTAACGAAAAATGAAAAAAGAAAGTTTTCCCATTTTCATGATTAATTAGTTATCCTGAAGTACCGCGAGAACGATTTCGATTCTGAAAAAAACTACTCGACAAACTCTTATTTTGCATCCGATGAGGCTCGAACCTACGATCTGTCACAGACTAGTCCTACACCCTAACCATTAACTTAATTACACTGTAATACTTAACTCTTGTAATAACAACACAAAAGCTGCTCCATAAATGATAGTCAATTCCTTTTGCACATTTTCATCTTTTTTTGATTTATTGATAAACACTTGATCATCAGTAGATTACTGAAGTTTTTCGTTATTCATTTAATTAAACAATAATTGTAATAAGAATCGCATTTATTGTTGCTATTTCATTATTTAATGATCATTTATGCGCAACCGCGGGTTTCCTCCAGTGTTTCAATTATTATTGACCTGGTCTCAATGAATGACTATTTTAATAAAATTGCAACGGATCTTATTATTTCATGTTTATTATAATGTAATTATATTCAATAATTATTTTAAGTTAGCGGTGGGCAACCTCAGCTTTCGGAGGTACTCTAGCTCCCGATCTCCATTCGGTAAAATTGTCTCAAGCCATAGTGTATGGCTGCCCTGATGCCCTGCCCGTGGACAAGAGTAGTGCGTATAATCGGCAGAAACGTGATGGTGGGACACTTGAATTAGGAACACTCTCAATTTCTCTAATCGAAACATTTTTGGAATTATTACATTTTTTGTTGTTATTTTTTTGACTGATTATTGGCTGCTTTTAATTGTCTTTACAAAAAGGGAAATTCATACATTCCTTAGATTTCTTGAAGGGAAAATATTGTTAGGAGAACAATAATTAAGTATTGTCATGCTCTTAATAGACCTGATTCGACATGCATTTTTAAACTTTTCGTTTCTATATATCCCACTCTCGATGTCCAATTAAAATATGCAAACTTCTCACAATGGAAGATATTACAGCGTCCTTTAATCTTTGGAAATATTCAACGCATAATTTATTGAGTTACCAATACCAATCGATCTACATTTTTTTCTCTGAAAATATGTTTTTCGCGTATTTGCATCTTTTTTTCAGAACCAAAAAGAGGTAATATGATAGTTGAAAGTCCACAGTTAACGATGGAATTGAAAGTGGGATGATCGTGAAATTGAGTTATCCGATCTTCATTACCGCTAACACTATGCTACAAAAATTTTAAAATTGCCGACGTCTTCTCGAGACCCCATATTCAAAAAAGATTCCTTTTTCCATAAGCAAGGGAAATTTGAAATTTTAAGGACCAGCGTAAAGGACGTGAACAAATGAGCAGAAATATTACTGGCGATGATGAAAATTTGACAAATTATTGACGATTAAATTCTTCCCTCTCAAGTGTATCAGCGTCCCACTTTCATTTCCACCGATGGATGTTGAATCTGAACCATCAGATTAGTTCCATTTTTTTTTAATCAAAAAGAACATGTCCAAATACGTGTAAAAATTCAAACTTTTTGCTCTTGCATTTCAATCATTGGCATGTGCCATCACCAGATGTTAAACCACCACACGAATATGCGGCAGCCCTTGTCATAACGTCAGGTCTCTTATAATTGGAACCCCAATAATTTTATGGCTGTTGCTCCGAGCTTACGTCAGATTGCTCACCTGGGTTTTAAGCGACGGTTCTGGAGAAGCTACATAGGGCCGATGATTGGCCAATGATCGACTAACGAATATTTATTCATCGCATGGGAACTAAGTGGCGGATCCAGCGGCTTTTCGTTTTTTATACGATTTTGGAAGTGAATGATTGGCTCCTGGACCAGCTGCACTGGGCTGCAAGATACCCCTGAGCAGTAACCGTATTAATCGATAGAACGCTGACTCGTGCAGCCTCACCCCTCCTTTGGAATAAGGCGATAAGTATAAAACCAAGTAGCCTGGCACTGAATTGACATAAAATTGGCCTCGAGACTCAGATATAGTTCCTGACTTCAGACAGGGGTCTGAACGTCTGACGTCGGGCAAGGGATGAGTCACTTTCCAGTTACATTCAGGTGTCCCACGGGAACCAGAATAAAACTAGGTGAAGGTAGGAATATCTCACATCCAGAATTCTGGGTTATAAACATCCGTCTAACTGAAATTTATGTCGTCAAATTAACGCCAAGGTGGTCAACAAGGGCATAATACGTCGCACGCGCCGTACCATGGCGGAGTATCCATATGCGCATTCCGGACAGTTCATAAAAGCTAAAAAGGAGTGACCACCCGTGAAGGGCTCACACCTTTCAGAATGTAATGACGTCCAACGGGAAGCGATGGAAAATTCATACTTCTCTGCCCGAAACTCAATTGACTCCAAAATTACAAATAGAACTGATCATTCCTCTGCCCAAAAGAAAAAATACAATTCTGAGAAATACGGAAAAGAGCCAAGACAATTAGTACCAAACCTAGTGCATCGGTTTTCCCGACGCACGTGTTCGATTAACCACGCTCGGGTTAGTTAGCGTCTGCAATATCTGACATTTGAGGTAGATTTATCTTTTTGTCTTCAAAAGTTTTACGACCTGCCTCGAAATCTAGCGAGGGTCCGTTACTTCGATGGATGAGGATAAACATTCTTCCCTAAAAAGTTCATTTCTCAATTTGGGAGCCCAGGTGACAGAGAGTTCAGATGACAGTTGGAACATCACTAGTTAAAACTTAACTTAAAGTCACTTCAGTTGGCAGACAAGTGATAACATTGTGCTAGTTCGAGCCGAGATAGAGGCCGAGTCCGAGCTCCAGTCTAACTACCAGCCAAGCCACACAAGAGTTAAAAGAAGTCCAGCCACCGAGACGATACCCTCTCCATCAATAATTGCGTCTGAGCTACGTGAGTCTATGCTAGAGTAATTTGGCTAGCCCGTTTCGAGAAGCTGCTATGCTGGAGTAGCGCAAGCCAGAAGAAACTAAATCAATCAACCGAGATTCACTTGGACTCATCAAGTCGCGGGCTTGAAAACAGTATTTGTACAGAGTTACAAATACGAACTCGCGGACACATTTTCTGCTAATCCAGCACCAGAAAATCCAACGATACTGAATTAAGCATTTGAATTAATCACAAACTTGACTCTGCAACTCGTGGGGCCAATCGAGAATAAGATGAACCATCAACTGATTTGACAACCGAAGTCCACAAGCAGCCGTACCGTCACCGTTGGTTAGACGGAAAATGGGGGGCTTTCTTCACACTACTAGAACTGGAGTTCGACTATACTGGACTGAGTCACTAGACTGAGTGATAACGCCCGTCTTCCACAACTTTCATTTGCCGACAACTATATGTTTTTATCTGATTTGAATTTTTTTCGCTTTTGTTCTCCATTTATTTGCTCAAGCTTTTTGAGCGGATTTTATCTTGTATTGTTGTCACAATTCTATTCTCTTAGGAGAGCAAAAAACATCTCTATGTAATAATTAGTAGAAGACTTTTCTTTCCCTTTGAATGCTTCTTTAATCAAACTCCTGCGTAGCCCAGCATAGTACACTTTAGTGCTGGATCCCATCCAATACGATCACATTCTGTTTTGGTCTCTATTTTGACGTAATTGGTCCCGGTCAAGTTAACTGTTGGGGGTCGTCTTTTAAGAAAATTACCATACCATATGACTATGGTTATTTTTGCATCGGCATTGGTGATTTCTGAAAAGTGTTCGAGTGCCAGAAGTGTTTATCTTCTTCCTTGAGAAAAATTCGGTGTGTTAACTTAGGAAAAACAAAGAAGACGCCTAAAGCGAAATGTTTTCATCGGTGAGTGCATAACAATATTTGATCAATATCAAATAGGTTACCGAAAATATTAATTGTTAACATCAAAAGTAGTTAGTCAAATATTTGATCATTATAACTAAGATTTAAAATATAGGGAGGTAATCAATATCCTCAACTTCAAACCATTTATTAAAGGCATACGATGATTAAATAATCTGTGATCTTACGCACTTGATTTTGTTTGCAACAATAATTTTGATTATGCCTAACAGTCACATCATATAATATTTGCATTGTTCATTGTTTTAATATATATAGATTTTCCAAAGATGAGAAATTTGTGAAGATCTGGGTGAGAAACATGGGCAGATCGGATTGGGTGTCTGGACAGTGGCATCTACTCTGTGTAGAGCATTTTGTTAAAAACTGCCTCTATTTCCGGGGCTTCAACCATGATAAGGAAAGATTGGCCTTTCCGTCCCATGCAAAGCTGGACGTACGGGCCTGTGAACGTAAGCTATTTCCAATCGTACATTTATGTCTACTAAGATTGTTTTTTTCTT